ATTAAAGACAAATCATTATTCCATAACCATAACCTTAACTTCAATATTGAACATGGATGAAGGAAACATGTAATAGTTTGAATGCAAAACATAACTACAAAGTAACCAAAACATTCTAACATTGACCACCCGCTATCATTTTACATAACTTGTTCCACCTCTTGTGTGGTGGAAGTCCCATTAACCTCTTTGTACAAGTGGGGTTTGAACATAAGAAATCATAACATTGATCGAGCAAGTTTTCATCAGAAATATTCATAGCACTCAACATTTCGTAAATGTCGCTCTCTGTGTATGTGTACGTGGAGGAGCGACGGAGTATTTGATTTCTGTCTTCCATTGCTGATACTTGACGCACAACAGCATCAGAAATTACACCAAAGTGAACATTTGTTGAGCTGAGGACATCTGTGAAACCATCGAGGCTGGATTTCAACTTATCAAATTGTGCATCTATCGCATCGACCATAGGTGCCTTCCTTTTGGAACCTCGTGAGGATGAAGTTCCTCCGGATGGAACGGATGGCACAGACTGAGTCTGCCCTGGACTGTACTCATCCACGGATGGAGGAGGTGATGGTGGAGTTGGGTCTCTATAGTCATGATAGTTAGGCTCTTCAAGAATGTACTCCATATTCTGATTCAAATCAACCTGTACACGAGGCCCAACCCGTTGACGACGCGCTTGACGAGCGGTCCGAACACCACTCCCAGTTGCTCGATCCGCAGCCCATAAATCGACCATTAAATCGTAGTGTCTTATGCTATTAACCCTCCACTTGGTTGCAGTTGGCCTTGACTGAAACAACACACATGACACAAATAGTGGTTGAAGTTATGTGTTTCAAGAATCTACGAAATCTTAATTTTTAACAAATACCTGGATGAGATCAGCCCACACTTCGTCCTCAGCTTCAAATCTCATAGTAACGGCGTTCCATGCAAATCCACTCAATCCACCAAAGAGGTCATGAACCTCACGCCATCTGTCTTTCAATACCTTTTGACGATTTTTGACATTATTTTTAGTAACATTAACATAACCACAACTATGAAGGTATTGAACCATGTTATTATACGCTTGGGTTGTCCAACTACCATCAACCCTATTACCCAAACGACTCTCCTCAATCATAGAATGCAAAAGCTTAGCATCCATGTCCTCAGTCCATTTAACGAACTCTCTTGTAGCAGCAGATGACTTGATCATTTGTCCCTTACCCCTGTCCATATTTAACCTATTTGATAAAGAAAATTTATACAAGTGAAGTAGAGTTAATCATAAAACCAAGTACATGTCAAATTCAAAAAACACAGTCATAATAAAATGATATCAAATACAATACTATTAATGTTCATAATCTCGCCACATTTCATCAGCTATGGCATCCCTAATAGTTGTACCGACCCTATAATCATCTTCTCGAACTTGAGAAGATGTCACATTATGGTCTTCCCCTTCATTTAACTCATTATGAACCTCATTAAGCAATGGGTCATCCCTATCAACTCCACGGATAAAGTTGTGTAGGATACAACAAGCTAGAATGATGTCTGTCATTGTCTCCAATCCATAATGTGGTTCACTTCCACTGGCAATGATAGGAAACCTTTTCTTCAACACACCAAATGTTCTTTCTATAACATTTCTCAATGATGAATGTCTATGATTAAAGAGCTCGCGTGCATTTTGTGATCCTGTGCGTGTGAATTCTTTAAGATGATATCTCACGCCTCTGTATGGTGTCAATACTGTACTTTTAAGCATAAAACCAGCGTCGCCAAGATAGTACTTTCCTACAATAATGCATAACATCAACATTTACTAATTAATAAACAACCAATCATAACATCCCAATGAAGACACTTACCTTGGGGGATGACGAACGGATCATCTCGATCGAGAGCATTTTTTAAGATTCTAGAATCAGATGCTGTTCCTTCCCACCCCGCTAGAACGTATGTGAATTTCATATCAAAGTCACATGCGGCAAACACATTTTGAGTTGGCCAATCTTTTCTTCCACGAAATCTTGGAGCATCTGTTCTTGGCACTCTTACACGAACATGAGTACCATCTATGGCCCCTAAGCAATCCTAAACATTCAAATAACAAGTCATCATACAAATGCGAAACATAAACATTGTTTCGTAGAAGTGCTTCAAAACTGACAGATTCATATGCTTACCTTAAAGTACGGATAAAACCGATTGTTGTTTAAGACATATGGATGCACCTCGTCTCTTGATGGTTGAGTTAAAAATTCAGATTCTAGACTTAAAATAGCATCCAACACATTGTGAAAGTGTTTGCTAACCGTCGCCCCAGATCGATAGAAGAAAAATGCGACACTTCGATTCTTAACATTATGCCCAATTATATGAAGAAATTGAGCTACTTGTTCCTCCACTATTGAGCGAATGGCATCTTTAACTAACCCAGTTGTTCTTAGTCTCTCACAAAGATTAATAAATGCCTCTGGACCCATCCGAATGATGTCACGACATCGATTAGTATGCACCAAGTACGACATTAACTGTTCCCTGCGATGGTCTTTGTCGGGAAGGAAAGTGCTAACACTACTTGGATCACTCGAGCACATATTCAATATATTCAAGGCATGACAAACAATGCATAACATTGTTAGTGCAGCCACTGAGGTTGTTAGTTGTAATTGTTGATGTAGCATTGCGACTATATTAAAGTGTACACCAACCACATCGTCGTTTATATCTTCACAGTCCAAGTACGACAAATCTAATTCTTCTTCCATCTATTTTTACTTAAACAAATAATCATACTATAATTAAAATCATCCATTCATATATTCATGAAACATATCTTATTCATGTTATCATAAATTAATATATCATAAATTCATATATAAACAAATTTAACTAATACATTCGTATAATACTAAAATTAAAAGACATATATTTAACTAAAACATTAAAAACACATTCTTATATTTATTAAAAATAAACAAACAATCACACTTATCTGTTGAAGATCTGTGTAGGTGGATTTCCAAGTATGAATTACACAAAACACTCAAACCCCAACCAGAAATGTACTGATTGATTCACTTATTGTTGTCTTGCCAAGTTGGATGGTAATTATCTATGTTTTTCAACTACGTAACAGCAAACCTGACAATATGATGATATTAGATCATGCATCAAAAGCAATGTAGAAATTTTTTTTAAATCATAATGTACCTTGAACAGAGTAGATCCAGTTCATGAACCAAACAAATGAATATAGAACAATGAGTCAAAATCTTCAATGTTCAACTATGAAAGTGAATTATCTTGACTGCCCGAAAACCATTCATAAATAACCTTCTACCAAAGAAATAACTTCTGCTTGCTGGACAAAAACATGCACAAAGAACCTTCTTCACCATAACCAACTACTCCGGTCCACCACCTTCAAAATACCAAAACAAACCATGATCAACTTCTTCCCTACATTTATCAACAAACCCGTTAATTTGCTAATGCCCTGGACTACACACAACACACACGGTGCTTTATCAACTTACACCATAGAAGAGCTTGCAATTGAATGTTCAAGCTTGTTCTTCACCACCCTCACAAGATCTGCATCACAAACCATCAAAAAATAATCGTTAGCCCTATCATATTTGAATCAATAAAACTATATTTGCGTTCTTCTCAGCGTCCTCATGTGTGCCCATCCTCCTCCTTCGTCCAGTGCTTCACCTGTCCCTCCAACCTCGGTGCATCCTTCACCAATCAGAAAATTTTGTCGCTGATTGAAGGACCATTAAATGCTGCCTCCATCCTCCATCATGTCTGACACCTTCGTCCACTACTTAAACATGCATCGGATGAGCGTGGCGTCCTCCAACTTCACCGACAACATCCTTCTGACGACACGCTTCGCTCTGCTACCAATTTCTTCATCACATGGCTACTGCACCGTCGACATTCTCCGACTATTCTCCACGCCAAACACTGCCAACAGCGAACCAAACTGGTGCACATGCAGGGAACGAAGATCGGGTGTGTAACCGGATGCAAGCCAACCAAATACCCATCTGGTATCCGAATACGCATCACTGTAATCGGATACCATTTCGCTTGGATTTCTGCATTCACGTGTAACCGGATAGTGCATCTCTGATCCGGATACGCCATCGCTCGCTCTGCATACGTTGAAACTGGTCTTCGTTCTCCACCTTCGCACACTCATCTTATTCATCAACTAATGTGTTCTTCGTCTCCTCCATCGATCCAGCTGATGTCTTCATCTACCTCCATCACCTGTAACAATAAATCGATAGGCACAAGCTGTAAACAACTACTATCAAAACTCACCTTGACTTTCTCTCTTCCAAAACCACTGCAAACACACTACCAGCTCCTCAACTTGCACAGCCAAAGGCTATTCTCGCTTCTTCAATTAACACAAGAACCACCAGACAAGGCTCTTGTAGCTTATGTAATTAACACAACAACCACACCTACCACTATTTAATCCTTTTTCCACACGGTCAAAAGCAATATCTGTACTGTGACTATGCATGCGCGAATCTTCACTGTTCTTGTCTTGTTTGAAGCAAAGCTGGGAACCTCTTCTGCAAATAGCAGCTTTGACTTACTCGCGTGAGTACACAGTGCAGCTACCAATATTATATAAAACATGTAACAGTGGTTCTGGAAAAATTTAAAAGGTGAGGGGCACATGAGTAATTCATGCTACTATCCCTCCAAATCTTCTCAACCTAGCGGGTGACCAAAAAAAAGTGCATCTCGCAAATCAATCACGTTACTTGCACGCAAATACCTTCAAGTGAACACACAATGCATTACTTTCCATCGCTCGATGATATTAGTAAACAGTAAATACCCTCGAAGTGAACACACCCTAAATAACTTTTAGAATTTAGTGGAATATATATATATATATATATATATATATATATATATATATATATATATATATATATATATATATATAAGATATAAAGATTGAAAATGAATAGAATTGCATAAATGTTATATACTATATAACTGTTAACCCTCGGCAAGTGTAACCGAATCGTATCAAGTAATAATAAATGGTAAGACCAAGTATTGTTTTCTAAAGGACTCGCGGCCTAAACAATTATGTGATTTGTGGATTAAATTAGACTTATGAATAAATTCTTGTAGATTTAAATGCAAATACTGAAAATTAAATATGAATGCATGTATTGATCAATTGGATCAAAAGAAGCAAAAATGATTGAAATTATAGGATGATGATGTTGTTGGGGGTTTTCAATTCATCCTATCCACTCTCATGTATTCAAGAATTCATCTTCTTCATTAATGTTAATGTCACTTTCTAATTTACCTTAAACCCAATGTCTTGGTGAAGAAAGCCTACTCCTAATTACTAGTTTACAATGTCTTGTCTTCCTAGCAATTATTCATGCATTACATTCGCACAGAAGCTTAAAGGCAACCAATCCTCCTATCCCTATGTCTAGGCAATATTACTATTGGGAGAATTTCTTCATGTCTAGATTTATCTATATGTGTCCATACAAATAAAATCAATGATCATGCAATCAAATGAGTTAAACAAAGCATGCATAGAGTATAGAAGAAAAACCCTAACCATTAATGAAAGAAAACATATGAATTAAAGAACCAATTCAATACATGAGAGTTTCAAAGGATTACATTGATTCCCCAACAACAATGAAGGTTTAGTTCACCATAATCATGGTGAAACTAGATGAAAAATAATGAAAGAATGAAAGATAGAACCCTAGAATTTGAAGAGTGGAGCCTAAGCATCCAAAATCCTCCTTCAAGGGGTGAAGAAAGTGTGATTTTGCTTCGTTCTGCCAAAAGATACTAACCCTAGGTCGACTAAAACCTTATATAGACTCTTAAAGATTACAGAAAAGTGGCCCAATGCCCATTTAAAATGCCGCTCAGCGGTAATTATCGCTCAGCGGTAAGTGCGGTTCTTCTATTTGACGCTCAGTTGTAGTTTTGCTCCTCAGCGGTGACTACGGGACTTCAGAGTGCCGCCTAGCGGTAATTTCCGCTGAGCGGTACTTGCGGCTCTTCTTTTATGCACTTTTTCTTCCTTTTCTGACTCTAACTTATGGCTACTTCACTTCTTCCATTCAATTCTTCTTAAAACCTTCAAAAATAAGTGAAACCAAGCATAAAACCCATCCAACTCTCTTATTTCAAAAACATAAGCAAAAGCATGATTACAAGCAAGTTTCTAAGTCATAAAGGTTGTCTTTAAGGTCAAAATTAATTATAAAAATAACGGTTTTTCAACCGTTATCAATAACAAACTAACGTTTTAAAAAACATATTCTAATTAAACATAAATCTATATAATAATAACAAATAGTTTGCAACATAAGAAGTAAAATTGAGCCTAAGAAGTAAAACCGAGCCTAAAAAGAAAAATCAGAGCCTCAGAAAAAAGGTTTTGGTAGCTATATCAACAACATGTTCACTTATAAGAATGTGAGTGACAATTAATGATGCAATGATAAAAAGACTTTTGTACTTCTCCTTTACACTTGATTGAGCAACCAAAGTTTGCTTTTTAGACCACCAAGAAATAAAAATATTCCTGAATAATAGATAAGTACCAATAATAAATCTTTTGTCAACATTGTTAAAGGCACAATCTACATCACAATAAAGAGTTAAGTTGTACCTGTTAGGAGTAGGTGTAGGTTGAAGATGTAAACCATAGATAATGCCCTTTAGATGACATAATATGTATTTTTACAATTGTCATCTACATAGATGAGAACATAAAGACAATTTGGAACAATTTTAACTATTAGTAAAGAGCAATCCCATTTGCTTTAAACATATCCAAAATCAACCAAAGTGGTGGTAAGTCTATTGTTGACTTTGTATTTCAAATTAGTTCCAACAAGTTTATTGGGTGCATTTGTAGTATCAATCAAGTGTTGTATACACAAGGATTTGTTAAGGTCGTATAATAATTAAATTTGGATTAGATTCATAAAGAACGTCTTTGATGTAATTACAATAATCATAAAAGCATAGCTAATTTGAGTTTTAAGAAATATAATGATAATAATGTGTTGAGGTTCGATTTGATCTCATCTTCTACTGCACTGTTAATGATCTTGTATATTTGATATGTAAATCATTCAACTTCTAAGAAATGCTCTAAGGTAATTCTAGATCCATCATTGACATATAGAACCAAATGACTACGAACTCGGTGTGACTTTTTAACTCCTATTTGAATGAATCATTTCCTTAAGTGCATAACTTTGCTAGTATCTAAAAGAAGAAGATGGTTTGATTGTATCAAAATTTGATATTAGCTTTCCAACTCAATCTAAACTAGTGAAATAAGATAAGTGATCAAGTCAGTCAAGAAATAAAGCATAAGTCAAATCACAAACATTGAATGAAAGAGTATATAAATATTAAAGACGTAAAATTATAGAGAGTTGGGATTAATTACATTCAACCTCATCACAAGAGAGTTCAACTACTCATATTGATATGAAATATTACAAGTCTTGGAGTTTTTGTGCCTCTCCTATGTCTTTAAATAAGATGTTCTAATTAAGTACAAAGAGAGTGCATAAAGAAGTTTTGGAAATTGATATCTAGAACAAAGGTGATGCTTTGTTTTTATAGATTTCTAGGTTAAAGATCAACTTCATCCACTTGGTGTTTCAACAATATCGGTTTCTGGAAACGGTTGAATTTACCGTTATTTGATACTTAATTTTGA